TTTTTTTCAAATTTACTTTACTAAACTCGGCATGCGTAGGTATTATTATTAAAGTTGCACGAATCTTCCTAAAACTCAATATAGAAAATATTACCCTTTCAGTATACATATATATATATAATAACTTAAATTTAATACACGTCTCTAGAAAAAAGAAATATATACAGAAAAATCCATGGATGGTAAATTCCTCGATTACAAAGGTTAAGTATTAATATTAACCTAAGTTAAGTTATTCCGGGTGAAATAAGTACTTTAAGGGGGTGTCTCCCTTTTTGCAATTTAAAAAACGGAATTGTTTTAGTAAAAATGTGAATTCGAATTTAGGAAATTTTAAAACGTAATCACATTAAACAAAAAATGTATTTGATTCAAATAATTGGTTACTTGACTATTTTCAAATAAATATTTACTTGAACCAATTATTTTTCATTTAAAATTAAATATATACTAGAAACAAAAATATATTTGATTCTAATAATCAGTTATACTTTATTATCAAATAAATATTGACTTGACTAAATAACTTTTATTTGAATTAAATAAACTGTATTTAAACCAATAATTTCTATATTTCAACCAAATACCATTTAATTTGACTCAAATAATAATATTATTTAATAAAAAAAAATATTTATTTGATAATAGTCAAGTAACCGATTATATTTGAATCAAATAACTGTTTTTATTTTTCAGTGTAGAAAAATAAATATGAAAATATATAGTCAAAATTGTTGAAGAAATCATAGAGTTTTTATAAAATTATTGAATATTATGAAAAGTTGTAAAAACTTTCCCTGAGAAATTTTCTCCTACAAACAATAATAGACAAATTTGAATAAAATCACAATATTGCTGCGCGTCTGTAACGATTGCGCGTCTAGAAGCCAAAGTTCAATGATCCGCAAAGCATTGTTATATAGTGGTCAATAAAGATCGAATTGAGAAAACTTTGAACCCGCGGGATTGAATTGTAAACTTGATAATCAATTACGTAGGCGTTTTTGAATCATGTGTAAGTATGTGTCTGGAATATTGACGAGACGAAAATTTAGAAAAGTAACAATATCATCAAATATATACTATATACAAACTGTGAAGTGAAGACATTGAATGTTGCTAATCTATTTCTATATATTGCCCAGATGTTATATGCCATTGTTACATCCGAAAGGGGTGGGGGGGGGGGGGGGAGAGAAAAAGTTTTCGTGAGAGCGATTCCGTAGTACAGTTCCGTCGAACGTTTTCGATCGCTAATAATTTTGCGGAGGTGGAGGCGTGCACGATCGTTTACCTCGAAGAGGAAGTCGAACATATACAACCTCGTGGGTAAGACTATGCGAAGATAGTCGCATCGAAATCGCATCGAGAAAGATACTGTTAGCCACGTGAAGATACCTACCGACCGACACTTCCGACGGAATCCGTTGCATTTTGCGTTACGATTTAGAATCATGTTCAACCTTCAGATTCAAATACGTGAAGTAGATCTTGAAACAGACAAGCAATTCAATGTAAAAAAAATTTGCAAATTTAAATCCCAACAAACAGTTTATACCAAGATCAGTTTGACCTTCTGAACCTTTTTAGATTTTTATCAAAACGTGAATACGAACGTTTTACTATTGTATAAAATCATTCTCCAAAAATATACAATATTTTAAAACATAATTTGAATTTTTTTTTTCAATGAGAGTTTATCTTTTCAATAGTATAAATTTATTTAAGTTCACCACATTGGAGATTTTTTTTTAATATTTTTAAGTTAAATTTTGCAATTTATGAAACTGAAATAATTGGGTCGGTATTATTTTAACAAAAAAATTTTCGTAACAATTGTTATAATGTACAAACGGTGATAATTTTAGTTTGTAAAACTATATTAAAATCCAAAATGTTATTTTGTACTATTATCATATTTTTAATTTTAACAATAAATTAATTTGTTATTTTCAGTTGTACAAAATAGTATTTAATAATCGAAATTTTAAATGGTTGAAATTCTAAATAGTCGACACTTTTAATGAAAAGGAAAAAAACACTCTCACACCAAAAAAGTGTCTACTATTTAAAATGTCGACTATTTGAAGTTTCGATCAAATAAAAGTTCGACCATTTGGAATTTCTATTATTTGGAGTTTCTACGTTATCGAATCTCGATTATCTAAAATGTGTTTTTGAATTGTCTCTGCATATTTATATTAATTAATTATTGCGTTTGTACAGGAGAATATGCCAAAATAAATCGCCAAGTGCTAATAAGCAGGTTACTGACTTATTTGTATATTTGTATAACCGGCTGTCACATTCATATATCTTGGTTTGTTTTTGAGGTTATGTTGCAAAGTTCGACAAATACCACGTGATGATGTATAAGATGTAAATTACGTAGAAAACTGTAGACGCAAATTCAGGGTTGGGTACGTAAACTACCTAAGGTAATCTACGTAGTTTTTTACACGTAGATTACCTAGTAATTTACGTCTACAGTTTTCTACGTAATTTACGTAATTTATATGAATATGACAGCCGGTCATAGAAATATACAAATAAGTCAGTAACCTGCTTATTAACACTTGGCGATTTATTTTGGCATATTCTCCTGTACAAACGCAATAATTAATAAATATACACATATATATATGCACAGACAATTCGGAAATAAAATTTAATTTTCATTAGTTTATTAAAATTGTAAAATATGGTTTCAAACAAATATTAATTACCATTTTTTTTTCTAATTTCATGTGTTTAAAATTTAAATCATTTGTATGGTATTGACAATGAGGCACATTTCTTTTTTGGGGGCATTTTAAAATATTTTAATTATTCTAAAACTGTGACTAACAATAAATATTAAACAATAATTAATATTAGGCTAAACAGTAAAGGGTTTGTTTTCCGTTTTTTCACTTGTTTATTCACTGTTTAGTAGACGTCATTTTTTATATGTAAATTACGTCGGTTTTCTACAGTTGTCTATGTAGATTACCTTAGGTAGTTTACGTACCCAACCCTGGTATCGACCATCCGCAGCTTCGAACATTTTAAATGTCGATCATTTAATATGTCGACTTAACAAATTTCGATCATTTGGAATATCGACTTTTTAGAATTTAGGGAAAAACCTTTAAAATTTCTTTTGTAAAAGTAATCAATAAAATTTGATTTTATATTTCTTTAAATCAGAATATTATTTATAATCAAATTCTACCCACTATTTTCAGAAGGGCTCTCTACCATTGAAATATAGTCATAAAAAATACATATTCTAAATAACATTTTATTTTTTTTTTGTCGGCTAAACTCCCTTCAAGCTTGCAGTTTGTAAACAAAAACGAATCGACCATAGATCGCAGCGCTAATAGTGAACGAGAGGGGTATTACTAATCGCTTTTATTAAACCCGGTTCAATTCGAGAGAATCGAATTCGAGTTGCCTGCGTGATTTCAAAAAAATATTTATGAAATAAAATTTGAAAAAGCTACTTTGCTCAAGCTCAACCCGCCCTCCCCATGTAGTCTAACGTAGCATTTTACCAAACTCCCTCCCCCTAAACATGCCACGTGGATTATGGATGGCTTCTTTACAGTAATATATTTGATGTAGGGGAATATACTTAGGGTTGGACACCGTTTTAGACTTTGTTTATAATTTTATTTAAAAAAATTAATTTAGTCAATCGAGTTATATTGTTAGAAAGATGTACAAAAGAGGAACACTTTTGCTGAAGATCGTAAAATGTTTTGTCTAAAATTAAAAAAGTTCTGATCATTTAAAAAAAAAAGAAATATCTAGTCAGGGTTGGACACTTTGTGAAAATCGAAGCAAATTATGGTTAAAAAAATAAAATAACATTTATAATATTACTGAAAACGTTTTTATGTTAATTTTTTCATTTTTACATTATTATTATTTATAATTGACAATTAATATTATTTATAACGTTACTGAAATCGATTTTTAGGTTCATTCTTTCGTTTTTAACGTTATTATTATTATTTTTCTAATATCTTTGGTAGAATATGTGCTGTGTGTGAGTCAATGTTTATTTGTATATTTATTTATAAAGTGTGTCAAATTTATAATTAACAAAGTGTCCAACCCTGAGTGTATAAACTGTTTAACCCTAAGTAAAAGTAACATTTTCGAATTGTGCTAACCATAACCAGACATGTTTCGCGATTCGATTTTGCATTTCATTTTCTCTTCAAACATGAACCCCACAATACATGCAATAAACTTACCTTGCCAATTTCATGTTTTCTTTATTCATTTTTTATGTTTAATTACATCGCTCACAAAACTTTTTTCGTTGCTACAAATGCACCGACGTCACAGCAGACGCTACTTTTGATCCCCAAAAAATGTAATGGAACAAAATTTAGGTTTAACTATGAGAAGCTTCGCCACGTCCGTGCATAGATGGCGCTAGTGTTCTTATTTCAAGAAAAGCGAAGTGTCCAACCCTGAGTATATTTTCCTACCATTTTAATTTAATTTTTAAATAAATCCTTTTTTTAACCAATGAGAAATTTGCAAATATATTAAATTAATCCTTTTAAATAAAGAGGAAATCCTTTTTATACAAGAATTTTGACAAAAATGAGAATTCTCAAAAATGCGAAATTTTTCCATTATAATGAGAACGTAAAATAATTCAAATCTTTCCAATTTTACGAATTAACATTTGGTAGAGAATGTCGATAGGTATTAATTTTATGTAGAAAATGACAAAGTTAAATGTGTAATGTAAGTTTAATTTTTTGTCATTCTTTTGTACAAAAATTTAAAAGAGAAAAACAGGATATTGAAGAAAATATAAGCTTGTAAGTGAAAAAATCACTTCGGTTAATTATAATGAATTAATAATTAATTCAATACTAAAAGGTAAAAAGATTCTTTTCTATACGAAAGTTTTTCCTCTTTTTTCTTTTTATTAATCCTAAAAATCTAGGATAGTCATTCCATTAAATATATAAATTATTATTAAAGATCTAGTAAAAATTTCTTCATTATAATTCACTTAAAGTTATATCATCAAATATTTATAACAAAAATAATTGATTATTATAATTTTAAATTGTCATAAAAATTATTTAAAAGTTAAGTACAAGAATTTAATTAATCTACTAATTTTTAAAATTTTAGGATATTTAAAATTTTAAATAGTTTCATTAATTAAATTAAGACTATTGTTAACATTTGGTCTTCAATTGGTAACAAATCAAGAATATTTTAATTTGATTACCAGTTTATATATTAATTATATATTATGTTGAATAATATATATTACTAAACTGAATAATATTACAATTTATGTAAATTAAGTTCATTAAGAAAGTTAATTTAAGTAATTCAACTGATGTAGCAAAAAAAAGTATTTCTTATATCTTGATCTTCATATACAAAGATACTTTAGAAATATACATAATTTTGAACGAGTTTGGAAAGAAAATTTTGTCTATTCTCTAAAGAGAAAATAAAACTTTTCCTAATCGAACTCACTGAATAATAATCTTTAGATCGACGTGCTCGCAGAACGTGTCGAGATGTTACGAGCATGTGGGTGAAGGCTGCAGGAGATGTCGAAAGTGAAACTCAAGGCTCTGACTTAGCGCTTTATAGTAGCCATTGTCCATTTCTTTTCTTTTTTATTTATTTTTTTTCAACGACTTCCCATCATCGACTTGAATCCATTGAATTCAATATGATTGATCAGTCTCGCAATTCTATTATGCCGCGAGGACTGACATTGACAATCACGCGATGGAATAAGAAAATTTGATCCAGCTTCCTCTAAGTTATATCCGGACTCGATCTCATTTTCAAGTTTGAACTCCTCTCATTTGGTAAAAGAAGATATTTCCATTGGTGTGGGTGATAATTGCTATCTATCAAGTAACACGACTAAGAGAGTTGGCGATATTACCAGATGAATCCACTTGTAGAAAGAGAGATAAAAGGATGTAATAATGATCCTTTGGGTGATTCGTATATTATATTGTGAGGATAGTTACTTCAAGTTCTTATTGGGTTTCGGGATGAAAAAGGTCAGCACGATGCAAACTGAAGAGAAAAAATTGGATTTATAATGTTGCTTTATACCAATCTGACATTGAAAAAGGGATGGATATATATACGCTTGTATATATAATTCTATAAACACTCACGTAAAATGAAAGAAGCCAGGGCGATGATTGGGACGAAACAGCCGTACTCGAGCAAAACAGGAAACATGATGTTCCCCAAGAGAGCGCCTATGCGTCCAGTCATCATGATCAAACTCACAGCCATTGTTCTACGAATCAAAACAGAAGTTATCCCACGTCTCTCCATTCTCCATTCCTACAGATTGATCTCTTACATAAATCGTTCTTCGGGAGATTGTAATATACCTATTTTATGTACTTCGCTAAATCTATAGGGATATTCTTCTTTTAGTCCTCAACGCACGTGCAAGAGTTTCACACGTTTATAATCATTCTTCCTTATCCCCCACCCCACCGCCCACTACTATACAAAAACGAAGAAAAATCAAACTTTAACACTTTAGAATGTTAAATGAAAAAAAAAATCTCAAAATATTCCTATAAGGAAAGCATTTTATCCAAATTCCAGAAACATCTCACCTATCTAATATCTCTATAGAATAAATGCAAAGATTCAGGAATGTTTTTGGAATATGTTGAATATTTTGGAAGTCTATATATATACACGGAAAAACTTTGTGCAAGAATCATTCCTAAATTTGTTCAGGAACTGAGGATGTGAGAATAATTAAAGAAATCTTATTTATATTTTCTTTGAAAAATTCTAAGCAGTATTTCTATAAGAATTGTAGAGAAATTCAAGACAACTTCCTAAACTCACTACAGAAAGTCTTGAACTTGTTTTAGAATAAATTTTTACGTTCGCGAGAAAAAAAATTTACTCTGGGAGGACTCGATCCCACGTCCTCGAGAGTCCAAAAACTGCGCTTTACATCTCTCAGCTACCTTAGCAGCTTATGGTATTATGCATTGGAAATATATTTGACGCAACCAATCCCTGCCTAGTACTTAGTTACTGTACTGTGTCTTCTAAAACAGTTCAAGAAACTTTCAACGCCTAGTGACTGAGATATTCCAATCGCGGCATTAACAAGAAGTCTTCCAATGTCATAATAAAAATACAAGTATTTTCTTGAATGATTTTGGTATTTTTCTGTAAATTTTGCAGAATTTTTCTCGCGTCCTCAGTTCCTGAACAAATTTAGGAATGATTCTTAAACAAAGTTTTTCCGTGTAATATTAAATACAGTGAAAAAAAATTTATTTTATTCAAACAAATATTTACTTTAATCAAATAATTTTTATTTGAATTAAATAAATTGTATTTGAACCAATAATTTTTGTATTTGAAATAAATACCATTTAATTTACTCAAATAATAATTATTTAATGCAAATAAATATTTATTTGCTAATAAGAAGAATATTCCAACATTAAGTTAGTCCTAAAATATTATCAGAATAATTTTTTATAAAAAAGTTCTAAATAGTTTTAACCTATAAAAAAACCTATAAAAATACTAAAAGTCAAATAAAAAATTAAAAAAAAAAGATCTCTAATTGTATCCGATTCAAACCGTTTAAGAATAATGACACATGACTCATTGATTAAATTGAATCCATGTGACTAAATATGCGACCCGATTTATTACATCAGATGCAATATTGTCCTTTTAAAAAGAGTTCAATCGGATCAATTGGTTTCAATCGGAATTTAGCGATTACTACTCTAAAAATAATTTTTCTACTAATAGGATTACAATTCTCAAAAAGAGAAATTTTTTAAATATATTTAATGATCAAAATTATTTATCCTCGCTAATATGATTGAATTTATTCTCACCTCAATGTTGTCGGAAATAAGTCAACTGTAATACTGATACTTAAATTGACACTAGCACTTTGAACTCCACAATAAATACAGGTAATAAGAAGAGTAACCAGTGTATTTGGTGACCATTGCATTGTTACAATCGAAATAAACGAAATGAAAAGTGCAATAACTAAAATAAAAAATGCATGTAATGTACTGAATTATAAAATTAATTTGAAAAATTATCGTAACACGTCCTTAATATATATATATATATACGTGCCAGTCCATGAGTTTTTTAGCACTTTTCGGAGTAACCTTTACAAATTAAATGAAATATTTTTTTTTATAATATTTATTAACATAAAGGTCCAAAATAATCACTTTTTAAGTAAAAACAATTGTTTATTTAAAAAATACAACAATAAATAATGAAAAAAATTCACTTTTTTTCTGCACCACCAAATAAATTGGTTTAAAGATCAAAATTTTCTTTATTTTTCAAGCTTTAATACCGCACAAGAATAATTACATGATTCGAAATAGTTAACTCACAATTTATTAAACAATGTTTGTTTTCTTTTTTGTATTTTTTTTTATTGTGAAACGTCTGCTATTGCTGCGCGCGACGTTCGGTAGTTGTCCCTCTCGTTATTGAACAGAAGCTCATTACACTAGCGTAGTAGAAAGCATGTTGTGCGAAAAGTGAGGTTATGTTGTCATTGAACGAAACGTAAACATTTCTGGTTATCACATTGAATGGTTTTTAATTACCTACATTGCAGTAAAAAATTATAAAAAAACATTTTTGAAGGATGAAAAACCTCACTTTTCACACAACATGTTTTTTACTACGCTAGAGTAATGAGTTTCTGCTCAATAACGAGAGCGACAACTTCCGAACGTCGCGCGCAGCGATAGCAGACGTTTCACAATAAATAAAATATAAAAAAGAAAACAAACATTGTTTAATAAATTGTGAGTTAACTATTTCGAATCATGTAATTTTTCTTGTGCCGTATTAAAGCTTGAAAAATAAGGAAAATTTTGATCTTTAAACCAATTTATTTGGTGGTGCAGAAAAAAAATGAATTTTTTTCATTATTTATTGTTGTATTTTTTAAATAAACAATTGTTTTTACTTAAAAAGTGATTATTTTGGAGCTTTATGTTAATAAATATTATAAAAATAATGTTTCATTTAATTTGGAAAGGTTTCTCCGAAAAGTGCTAAAAAATTCATGGAATGGCACATATATATATATATATATATATTTTTCAATGAAACTTACGCAACAGTATTTTATTACGAAGAACACTCACTAATAAGGCGGCCAAAAATACAAAACTAGTGGTTACACTATAAACAATCATGGCAAAATAATAGATTGAAGAATCGACGGGAATCTGCAAAAAGTAGTCATTAAAATTGTCAGATTTTAAAAGATCAATCGTCACAATATTTCCATAATCTTAAAATAAGCTCTTTGTGTTGCACGTATATTTTTGCACATTATTATTTTTTTAATGTTCTCTCTATAAAATATGATATTTAATCCATATATATATATAGAAAATCTAAGAAATAAATAAATATTCATACTTCTTTACAATGTTCTCTTCCCTTTAAAGTGGCAGCAGTCTGATTGGCAATAACAGATTTTGAACTATCAAGAATTTCACAAAATGACAATTCTTCTGTTCCTTTATTTGGTAAATTATCAAAATATGTTAAAATTGTAAAAATTTGCGGTTGCCATAAACGAATAGTATTTAATCTGGAAACATAATTCACGTTGTATAAAATAAATAGAAATTTTATATTTTTCTGATATATTAAGGATGTTTTTAAAATAAAATTTAATTATTTCTATTATTATTTAACAAATTAATACCCTAGTAAAAAAAATACAAAGAAAATGAATTTTAATTTTCCAATTTATTTCCATTTGCTGGCACTAATTTTTCTAACGAACACCGAGAGCCAATCAAGAGGGATAAATTTAAACCTCTGGCGTACTAAACAAGTGGGCTAAATTTTGCGTCTGCGCAGAATGTTTGTGTACACCTGCGACCATGGTTGTAATAGAACAGGTTTGAAAAGTTCGTTGGCTTTGGCGACTACGTGATCGCCTTTTCTAACCTAATTTTTCTAACCTGTCGTTATTGCAACCATGGTTGCAGATGTACACAAACATTCTGCGCAGACGCAAAATTTAGCCCACTTGTTTAGTATGCAAGAGGATTAAATTTAACCCTCCTGATTGACTCTCGGTGTAGCCAGCCTCATAAACTGACAATACTTTTTCACAGTCTAAAAATAATTTACAGGCATCACAGTACCTTTTATCCTCAAAAAAAAAAAGTTAAAAAGGTGAATTTTTTTCTGAAAAAGGTCGTATTTTTTCTATATTCTATATGCTAACAAATAAAAAATAAGGTATTATATGAAATATCTTCGATTTCTTATTTTTTAAAATTTAATGAAAAAAACCTTAACTGCAACGAATGCATCTAAAAGATTGAAATTATCTATGAAAAGTGAATTTCCTCAAACCCGAAGTCATGAATTTTTGACAAAAATTTTTTAAATCAATAGGAGGGAACTTTTTTCCGTTTTTGCGACAGTAATGTTTTTTGCCATTAAAATAATATTTACAATTTTTAAGCTGGAAGCCAATTATATATATAAATAATTGTAATTTGATAATAAATAATAATTGTAAATAATATTTTTTACCAAAAAGTAAATCACTTTGGCACAATAACGGAAACAATGTCTAATTTATTAGTGACATCATTAAAAAAAAGTTCTTAAGTCAATGACTTTGGTTTTAAGAAAAGTTATATTTTTGAATTAATTTCAATTTCCTAGATGCTTTTGTTGTTTTTACAAAAAAAAAATTCCATATTTTTGATCACAATTTAGTGTATGTGAAAAATGTAGAATAAAACAATGTCTTACGTCATTATTATGCCAAAACTGAGTGATACCACCAACAGCAACCGGAAACCAAGAGGTGACACAAAGAGTGGTTTCAGCTGACGCATTCCACGAGTTAAAACGCTTTTGAATGACCTTTTATGATTTTTTGATCGTTGAGAGAATTCGCTGGGTCTCTCGATTGAAATGATATTCACTCCATTCGTTATTGAAGAATCGGCCAATTCGGACTCCAACTCGCGAATCTGATGAAGAAAGTAACATAACAAAATTTGAAAGAAAACTCGCCAAGTATAGTCGAGCTGTGTTAAATTTTTGCAGTTGATCAGTTGAGATCATCCGATGAGACGGATTTTCTAGTACCGGATAACTATCTGGTGATTGACCAGAATTCACCGCGTAGATCTTCCTAAACACCTCTAGAGCTTCATCATTCCGACCTTGACTCATGAGAAATTTTGGACTCTCGGGAAAGAAAAAAAAGCACACCGCTCCAATAATTATTGGAAGGCCACAAAACGACATATATAAACGCCATGAATTGTAGACGAAACTTCCATTGAATAAATTCAGGGACCAATTATGAGGTATTATCAGCCATGCCATTGCTGTTGATATTAAGATTTTAAGTCAATTATATACACGTTTTTTCATGTATGCCATTAAAACAAATAGTGTTGTAACAATTACTGTTTGTTTCATCATTTTTACTATTCTTTTTTTTTTATCCAAAATTAAATAAAGATAAAGTCTCTTATTGATTCATTATAAAATAATTACTTCAGAAGACATTTTTCTTATTTTAAATAAAGAACAAATAAAAAAAACATGTTTCTTATAATTGAAAATAATTTCTTTGAATTAAAAAATATTTTAATGTACATTAACAATAATTACTGTTAAAAATATAATTATTTTTTTTATCTATTGTGAGAAAAAAAATGTATTTCATCATTTGGAAGCACAGTAATCGTTAGAACAATATTTTCTTCAGTTTGCATATCATTTTAGCAGTGAATAAAATATCTTATAAATATATGTAGAGGAAATGAAAAAGAAAATAATTTCCTGTTGCTTATTTACAATTAATGGAATATTACATTCACAATATAAAATTATATACCATACGATACAATGTATGAATATAAAATTATGAATAAAAAAAAACTTTAAAAATGAGAGTTATTCAAATGTTTTGCAATAACTGACAAATTATTATGAAGTAAAACACTCTACCTGCATTGAGAATTGCTCCTGAATTGTTAAACATTCCGATTAATAAAACAAGTCTAGGTCTGTCATTTAATGCATGAAATTCGGAACAATAAGTCACGAGTGTTGCATAAGGCCCGCTGACACTAAAAAAAAAAAAATTAAAATCCAAATTTTTGTGATGTAAAAACAAAATAAAATTTTATCCAATTTTTATCTTTCTCACAATAAGAAATTTATTTAAATCTATTTTGCCGTTACGTAAGAGAAAAATTCACTTAAAACTTACACAAAGCCAGACATAAATTTGAAGAAAACAAGAACCAAAAAACTTTGAGAAACTCCAGTCATAAGATTGAGAATACCATCGGTTAATAAACAGTATATTAAAATCTTTTTTCTACCTAGCACATCTCCTAAGAAACCCCACAAAAAAGCACTCGAGACCATTCCTGAAATATTATTTTTTATTTAATATTTCATTTAAAAATATATAATTTTATTGGAATATTTCATTAATTCAAATAATGGTACTGATATATTAATAAAATTATATAATTAGCATATATAATTAATCATTAATAATCATATATTATATACATTTCAAAATTTCATATCTTTTTGAGAATCCTCAAACCTGAATAGACGGCGGCATTGAGAAGACCTTTATAAAGTGGTGTCAATCCCAAATCACACTGTACCGAAGGAAGAATCATTGAAGTATTCGATGTGTCAAAAATCGATGCCCAAGTAGCAGGAATCATAACCAAATACAAAATATAGTGAAATTTACCATAACCACAAGCAGTCACAGCCATTTCAAAATTGGCTGTCCCTTTACCATCTACAAAAAGCAATTGAAATTTTTAAAACAAGAAAAGTGCAAAAAATAATTTATTCTAATATATAAAGAAAAAAAAAATTGTATAGATATTTTTTTTTAACAATAAATGATGAACCTACTTGAGTTTTGAAACCCATGATCTTTTTTATCCAAAGTTTTTGTATTCGACATCCTAAAGCTCACCAAGTTTTCCACTCAACTGATCGTCATATGATTTCTTCACTCTGATGCGGTATCCCGAAACGGAGACCTCTGGACTTTCTTATTAAAGTGACTGGCATTTAATACAGCCTATTCCGAGCAAACACTTTTATCATTAACTACTTTGCAGTTGATGTACAGAAGATACATCATTGCGTAAGATTGACTAACACTAATCGTTTTAAACAAGTTTTTACTATTTTTTGAGCGACACACGATTACGTTCATTAGAAAGAAATTTTCATATTTTCAACTATCTCTCAACAAATAACATTTTATCTTTGGTAAATTTTCTATTTATAATGGACCCCAGGACTGTATTTCTTTCATTCTCAAAATAAATAAATTTTTAAAGAAGGCACATAATTACTTTTTTTTTCTTGTACTATAGTACATAAATAGAAGACAAAGCTAAAAGACTCTCTAATATTAAGAAATAAAAATAATTACGAATTTTTCAGTATAAAAATGGTCTATTTTAGGTGTTTGAAGTAAGAATAAAAATCTAGAAAAATTTCTAGTATTTACTAGGTTAGATATTCTTTTGAATTATTGGAAATACTATTGATCTTTCTCAAAATTCATTGGGGCGCATATAATTATCATTGAACAGAATTTTAAGTGATTCGAATTTAAAAATGTCATAAATTCAAATTCAGCGAATTTTTATTTGTAAAAATTTTGTTGATATAGAATTTTTAAAACGTTAAATTTTCATTTGTTCGAAATTGCAAATGTCCGAACAAACAATAGACAAAATGATTTCGACGTAATTTTTAAAATTTATACCAATCACGATTTTTTTGATAATTTCTGATTGGCCAATTTTAAAAATAGCGCCCAAAATTTTTCTGCCGATTTTTTATTCGGTCATTTATCATTTCGAACAAGTGAAGATTCGTTTTTTTAAGAATTCTATCAAACAAAAATTTGTAAAAAAAAAAATGAAAATTCGGTGAATTTAAATTTCTGACATTTAAAAATTCGAATCAATTAAAATTCTGTTGAATGAGAATTATGCTAAATTAAAATTCGATTAAATTAGAATTATTTTAAATAAAAAGTTGAGTAAAGAGAAATTCTGTAAAATAAGAATTCTGACAAATAAAAATTCGCTACCCAAAAATTTTGTTAAGTAAATACTTTTTATAGAAAGTCTTATTCTAATCTATAAATAAGATACAATTAATTATTAAATTATTATCATTTTTACAAAAACCTGTTGAAACTTCATTTTTTGTAAAAAATATATTTGATTTTATTAAAATCGGTTAGTTTTTGATTATTATCAATTAAATGTCAACTTAAAGCAAATAATTTTTCTTCGAATAAAATAAATTGTATTCGAATTCGTAGTAAATTAATAAATTTTAATTTTTTTTTTGTAGTTTTGAAATAATTAAATTATAATTTCTTTAACGTGAAAGATTTCCTTATTAAAGATTTTCATTTCCTGTCCTAAAAAAATGCAAAAAATTTTTTAAAAAATTATAATTTATTATTAACTCTAGAAGAAGTAACTTAATTTTTTCACCCTCTAAAGGGTAACTGGGATGTCTAGATACCGCAGTTACTCCTTCTTGGGTTAATTGAGACAAAAGATTTGAAAAAATAAGATTTTTCAAAATGGAACTACTTTTAAAAATTTGACTATTTTTGATCGACAATTTTTTTACAATCTTTTTTAATGATTTCTTAGAATCTATCGCATGGATTTTCAAAAAATTTTATTTTTTTAAAAAATACAAATTCTAAAATAGTTAAAAATTAAGATTTTCTTTTTTTGACTGCCTTATATGTTTTAGGACCCAAATGATGCAATTAAAAATATATAACATCATGCGATCATTAAAATTTAAAGGGGTCAAAATCAGGGTTGCTATGGTTGCAAAATTTTAAAATTCCCTGACATTCACAGGTTTTCCAGACCATTTTTCTTAAAATTCCATGACCAAATATAAAATTTTTGTAATAAAGATTTAGCTTATTTTATATAAAATAAATCAATGATATTAACAATAAAACATTTATATGGTTATTAATTAAAAAAAAACTTTTGTATCTAAATTGAAAAATTATGTATTAGAGTTTTTTAAAATTTTTTAAAAAGAAAAGAAAGGCAGTAGTATTGTCAACTTGATCATTTGAAATTTATACGATTTCAGGTTTTCCCTTACTGTAGCAACCCTGAAAATGAAGGTGGTGCTTTCCCTTAAACTATAGGTTGCAGAACCATCAAAATATTCCACGTCTGAACAGGCGCGGATCCACGGTGGGGCGAAAGGGTCGATCGCCCCCCCCCCCCAAAGCATCTTGAAAATTATAAAAGTTTAACACATTATCTAAACTAATTTTCTCTTTTTTTATACCCACACTTCTATAAGGTTTCAATTTTTGAATCGCCCCCCCCCCCCAAATTTGCTTCTGGATCCGCCCCTGCGTCTGAAATATTTTCTTACTCGAATATTAAAGAATGAAATTTTTTATATGAAAATAATCTAATTTATACGTATATATATATATATATATATATATATCAGCATTTTGTGTAAACCTGATTTTTCCGCATAAATGTAAACTCATTTACTAATATTGTTATCGGGACATTGTTTGAACCACGTAAATAAACATTCTTCCAAATTGAGAAATCCAACGGTTCATTGTCTTTAAAAAGATAAAATTTGTCTACATACTTATTGGGATTTTCAATCTTCAAGGGAAGGGAATAGACATTTTCTTCGACTTATCGAGATTCTACTGTATCCTATATTCTTAATCTTAACTCAGTAATATTTGAACTAAGAAAATTTATATCAGTCAAAATTGTGTTTAAAACAAAACATTTTTTTGATATTTATATAAGTTTGTCTTTGTTTACACTCTAAATTTAAATCAGTAGGTACAAATTTGACATAAATAAATTTTTTGTATTTTAATCAATAAAAAATCAGTCATTAAAAGTACTTATACTATTCAGTCAGTTCTCATCCCTAATTGAATAATATAATTTTTTATCACTTAATCAAATTATAGTTTAAATGTTTAGTTTTAAATATATGGATAAATTCTTCAAAATATTTGCAAAGTTCGAATGGACGAAAAGCAGTAAAATTTTATTTGTTTTCAAATAAGCTTTATCTCCATAAGCACATAAACTTTATATACATAAACTTAATTATCACAAAATTTATTATGGTTATCCATATATAAAGATGTCTTATCTATAAATCTTCATTATTCCGTATAATTAAATTAGTACTTTCTCTCCAATTAAACATAAAGTGAATCGGAAAATAAAACAACCCTCTGTGTCTATATGCTGACAAAAAAAAATTACATTCAACAAAAAGAAAAATCATCAAATCCAATGAACTTATAATTTTGCAAATATACTGTCATACATTAGAGCTTTCAAAGTACCAATGTATGTATAATTTTCTCTTGAAATTAAAGTACGATTAAAAATTTCCATCTCTGAATTGGCCTAATTCAGAGATATAACAAAATATCTCATCGTCATTCACATCAAATGCAAAAATAAACATTAGCTTTTCTTCGCAATATTTATGGCATACTTTTTAATTCAAAATAAATGTATTCAAAAAAAAGAGTATTTATTTCTGTTACATTGTAAGATACTTGCGTTTCACTTGACTACGAATATGATTAACAAACAACTTTAAATTTTATTTACATTATTATAAATTAAGTACCTATATATTTTTACATTGACTTTATTTCTATGTCGCAAGAGTAATAAAAGATAAGATACTCAACAGAATAAAAACTTGCTATCTCTTTTTTGGTTTTTTCATTTTATAAACATCAGCGGGTTTCTCGATAAAAACATTTTTACTTTTAATGAAATTGTCACTTCACCTAGAAAACAACTTGGTTAAATGAACCAAATTTATAGCTTTAAAACAACCAAATTTTATATGGTAAAACTTATTTCAAATACAAAATTTTTATATTAACGATTTTCTTATATTTTATTTAATATATAATTTCTTTTACTTTCAAAAAAGCATTTCCAAGAATCTGCTATTGATAAAATTATATTTTTGGACACATATTGTGCAAAAATTATTTTATCAAAGAATAATGAATACTTAAGACTTCTTTGAAGTTATATGCACACACATGTTTTCTTTAAATTAAACAAAAATTTTCTTTATCAGTTTATCATTGAAAAATTCTGCGTTCATTATAAATGAAGAAATTTTTACTAATTTTTTACATTTACTAATTTCTATATAATGTTTCATAACTGTTTTATAAACCTTAAATACATTATATAATACTTGTTGAAGGATTTAGAATTTCTTCCCTTCAGTAAGGAAATGATTACTACAGATTTTTAGATAAAAGCATATGTGAATTGTATTTATGCGTGGTCGTATATAAAACTGAAAATCTCTTTGTGTTTTCACCTTGAGTTGTTCAACCTACGTATATAAACCTATATTGTACGATTGTTTAATACTATAAACATACACACTTTTTTTTTGGGTATAAGGGTCAAGGATGGCTATCGAGTTTAATGTTTCCTTTTTCCTGCAATTGATTTTTTATAATGATATATGTTCCTTTTTTATAAAAGAAAGAAAAAATTTTTTTTATATATATAGAAATAAAGAATCTTCTCGATTCACATTAAATCGTTTTGATTAAATCAAATGAAACAAAATTCCCCAAAAAAAATAAATATAATTTATCTTTTCTGCATATTATTAATATTGGGAACTTAAATTATAACAATTGAAATTTCTAACACATTAATTAATGAGGTTTTTGTGTCAGTATGTATTTCGAAAGTCTCGACCTTGAAATTTTCGGCCCTTTTCCATAATTATAAAAAAAACAACTAATTCCCCTTTCAGTCGATACCTCTCATTTGAATGCAAATTACTTATTCTCCTTTTGTAAGCGGTTATAAAAGGATATCCTCTCTGTTGGATAAGCCATTACTCAAATAAAATATAACATAATTGAAAATTGTCTCATTGGTTGTAAATAAATTTTTTGTCTCCTTAACCTTCTAATCCTAAAGTTTTTTTTTAAGAATAAAATCTTCAATTTTTTTGTTTTAAGCGGATAATGTGACGTCGATAAAATTGACGTTTGCGATCAGCGATTGGAAAATTTTTTCTTTCATTTTTGGAAAATTATAATTAATTTTTTGCCTACAAATTTTTCTTTTAAAAATTGTTGATCGAGAAACATTGTAAAAATTTTTTTAAAACAAAAATTATAATAATTTGTATAGAAAGATATTGTTTCTTCTTAATTGTTTATCATAAACATTGTGAACTTCACCGCTGTATTTTATGAGGCTATCAGAAGCGGAATTATTCTTTCAAAATATTATTTTTTTTTTTTTTTGGTAGTAGTGCTAAAAAAATATTCTGACAAATTAACATGCGGCAATCACGTGACCTAATAATCACATGCTGTTAAAGTTTGGAGAAATTATCAAATACCATGTCTATTTGTATAACAATAAATTTAACACGAAATTGCTTTATATAATATGTAATTTAACGAGTTTACTTTTTTTGTGGTTTTATAATTCAATGTTTATAAAAGGTTTTTACTTTTTCCTTGTATATAAAATAACAAATAATATCTTAAAAAAAAATCGGACCAGTGCGAGTGTAACTCGAGGGTTCCGTACTCGAAGCGAACTTATTTGGTATAAAAACAAATGTTTAAAAAATATGTGTTGTATGACAACTAATATAAGTGATACAAAAAGGAACAATTTTGTAAAATTCAAGAAAATTGTTCCTCTTCGTATCACTTATATTAGTTGTCATACAACACATATTTTTTAAACATTTGTTTTTATACCAAATAAGTTCGCTTCGAGTACGGAACCCTCGATTTCAGTGCGAGTGTAACTCGCACTTGTCCGATTTTATTTTTTAAAAAATATTTTACTAAAAAAATATAAGAAACATAATTTTATTTCAACTCGCAATATTTTTATTGTATTTACATTTTAAAAATATATTGAATATTAAATTTTATCTTTCTAAGTCAAAAAGAGATAAAACTTAAGATATTGATATAAGGCTAGTAGCTGCTTGTCAAGGAAAAATCGAAAGTTATCTAAAAAATAAAATTTGTTTATTAATTCCAGAAAAATCAACTCCAATCATCCTCGCTATATTTTTTTTGTAATCTACACGTAAAAATGCGTCAAAATATATAAATTTGAATCACTGTAGAAAAACTTTTTTCGTTTTTTGCGGAAAAATACATTTTTTTCTGAAATTTATCATTTTTCTTCAAAAATTTGATAAAAATTAATCATCAACTCCAATCGCGCTTACATTTTTTCCCTGTATTTTTCACGCAAAAATTGAGTTTTACAGCAAGTATGAACAGTCTGGATTGAATATTGTGTGCGCTAGGGAGAATAAATCATTTTTTTCGAAATTTTTGATTTTTCCTTGACAACGCTATGTAAATTAATCCGAATCAAGTTCGCTATAATTTTCCTGTAATTTTCACGTAAAAATACGTAAGTGTGTCAAATTTGAGCTCTTTATGTCAAAAGATGTGGCCGCTAGGGGGGGGGGGGGGGTACATACTCATTTTTAGGTATTTTTCGTAAAAATTCATGGTTTTTCCTTGACAACGCTATGTTAATCAATTCCAATCATGCTCGCTATATTTTTTTTGTAATCTACACGTGAAAATACATATGTGTACTAATTTTCAGCCCTCCAGATAAATTTATGTGGCCGCTAGGGGGGGGGGGGTACACGATTTCAAAAAAACCGATATTAATAGGGTTCCGAACCGAGTACGGAACCCTAAAAATACATTTATATCAATAACCGCCATAATTGGTTTGAACTTTAATATGTATACTTCAATTCCAAAATGATGTGCAAAGAATTTATTTTAATCGTTATCAAAACATATTAACCCGTTAAAATATAAAATTAAACTTTTCTTTACTATTATTGCCTAAAGTACAGAGTTTTTAAAAATTATGAGATTCATTTAATACTTGTTACTTCTGAGATTTTTTTGGGGGGGGGGTTTATTTATATGTGACGCGATCTGAAGAAAGGGACCTTAGAAGCAAATGAATTATAGGTTATACTGAAACTGAACTGAAATTAGTCTTTATTAAATATTTTGAAGTTAATGAAGACCTAAATATCATTAATTTGCATTACGAGTTGAACGTTTTTGTGTATTTTCACTTTCAAATTTCCAAACGTAACCTATAATTTTTTGCTTCTAAGGTCCCTTTCTTCAGATCGCGTCACATATATATATATATATATATATATATATATACCTATTAATTTATTGTAATGGATTAAGGGACATAGACTCAAGCACTAATTTAAACAAGAGTAGGGTTTAAATAAAAAGCGACTCACCGATCGCGGATTCCCACGACGGCTGCCTTGTCACTTCAGGGCCACTCCCGGAGATCCCTCCTTCTTGATTGCACTTCTGCGGAGACCGGGAGCTATATTGGCATACTTTTCAAAAAGGACATTATTTTTAATAGTACGTCAATATGCAGGGACCGTTTTTCTTCATCTTTTTATTATCATCCTTCCTGTCCTTCAGTACAATAAGTTATATCGTCACGGACTGAAAATATTAAATATTTATTATAAAATTGAACTAGGGTCAGTTGGGGTAAATGGGGACAAGAGGTTTTGGAGCTTAATTTACAGTTTTAAAATTAAGTTTAACGTCAATATTTTAACCTCAGATCACCTGCAAGAGGTTTTGAGTATTGACAAGCTTTTATCTTGACAATTGGCAGCAAAGATAAAAAAAGTTATCGCTCAATGCATAAAAATTTGAAAATCAAAGTCAAACTGTTTCAGTATTTTGTCGAGCATTTCAAAGAAAACAGACTTCAAAATCATACCAAATTTTTTTCTTATTCCTTATGACTCCCATAACAGAAATTCACTTGAATTTTTGAGTTTTGTTAATTTGGTTAATAATGGCAAGTTGTCCCCATTTACCCTGAGTTTTCAAATTTTTGGGGTAAATGGGGACAGCTTGTCATTATTAACCAAATTAACAAAAATTAAAAATTCAAATGAATTTCTGTTATGGGTCTATGGGAGTCATAAGGAATAAGAAAAAAATTTGGTATGATTTTGAAGTCTGTTTTCTTTTAAATGCTCGACAAAATACTGAAATAAAAAACAAAAAAATTTCAATTGGTTCAACTATTATATATCTAGGGGAGACCGGGGCTGTTTGGCGCAGGGGTTGCTTGGCGCACTTGAGTTTATTCAAAAGTGTTAAGTTACATTAATTTTTCTCTTTATTCTGCTTAAAGTACTTGATGAACTGTAAGTTTGTACAAAATTTCATTAATATTCATTAATTATTAGATTGAAATAACTGATTTTGGCACTCCAAAGTAATTTTTTAACCTCTTCATTTTTTTGTGATATCTCTTTAAAAAATTCATTTTAGAAGAGCTCAAATATTAAGTTTTGAGCTCTATACATTTGATTTATATTAACAGTTTTTATAAAAAATTAATAAATATTTCAAAAGTACATTCGGGGTTAGGTGGCGCGGTTATCTGAAAATTTCGTTAAATATTAATAAAATGAAGTTGATTATATGAAATTTACACATTAATAAGCACCAATAACAATCCTATTCAAAAAATTTAACCGAATAATGGTTTTTAAATATTCACAGCGTTATTATCAAAAAAAAGAAATATTTTTTTGGTAATTTTACGATTTCATTTAATTTAAATGAAATTTTCTAATTTTTAAATTTAAAATAATTTTATTGTAAAATTACAGAACAAGACTTATTTTGTTAAGTCTTATATTATTTAAACTTTAAATCATATAATTTAATTTTAATTTCACTCCTGCGCCACGTAACCCCGGGTCGGGGTTGTTTGGCGCGCTTTGCACAGTTTCAAATAAAGTGGTATAAAAATAAAAGTATTAAATATATTTCAACTTTCTTTTTTTTAATTAAAGCTGATATGCTACAACAAGTTTTTTATACATTAACGTTTTAAAAAAAGCAAAAATGAGTGAGTTACACAACAAAGAGTAAAAAGTGCGCCAAGTAACCCCGGTCTCCCCTATTACAAATTTTTTTTCAAGTTTTTTCATCCCTTAATACAGTAATATACTTAAGGAAACTTTTTTCTTAAAAGTTTTTTTTTTTTTTTTGCTTAGGGACTATTGGGAAATCTGTATACAGATACCTTGGCAAATCAATATGTGTACATTAAAATTCGGATAATTTGAAACTAAAATTTAGATAATTATTTGAAACTTATATCAATTAACATTTGGAAAAATTGAAATTGGGATAATTTGAAAATTTAATATTTATTAGTGCGATTCCAGGTGAGATTTTGACATTTTCGGAGTAGGTTAACCGATTGCAATGAAACTTTGGAATTTTGTTATATATATCAAGACTAATCTTTAACGTAAATTTCAGCCTAAAATATTTGTTAGTTTACGAGATTTGCAATAATAACAAAAAATTTTAAACTGCTATATCTTCCGTTCTAATAAATGGATTGAGGTCTACTTTTTTTTAAAATGTCAAGGAAAATGAGAGGAATAAATCTCTTTCAGAACATTTTTTTATAATTTTACAACTAAAAAAATTATTAAATAATAATTGAATAACTTTCGCGCGACTAACTAAAATTCAATCACTTAAACGCTAAAATGATCTTACCTGTGTTTTCTTTAATGTTCCAAAGGATTTTTATTGTAAATGTAAGTTTAACTTAAGAAATTTTATTAATTTATTAGTATAAACAATTGAGATTTCTGCTAGTTGACGTGCAGACGACATTGCGCACGCAGCATTCTCACATAGCCAACTGACGTGATTCGTGGACTAAATTGGCTATGTGAGAATGCTGCGTGCGCAATGTCGTCTGCACGTCAACTAGCAGAAATCTCAATTGTTTATACTAATAAATTAATAAAATTTCTTAAGTTAAACTTACATTTACAATAAAAATCCTTTGGAACATTAAAGAAAACACAGGTAAGATCATTTTAGCGTTTAAGTGATTGAATTTTAGTTAGTCGCGCGAAAGTTATTCAATTATTATTTAATAATTTTTTTAGTTGTAAAATTATAAAAAAATGTTCTGAAAGAGATTTATTCCTCTCATTTTCCTTGACATTTTAAAAAAAAGTAGACCTCAATCCGTTTATTAGAACGGAAGATATAGCAGTTTTAAATTTTTTGTTATTATTGCAAATCTCGTAAACTAACAAATATTTTAGGCTGAAATTTACGTTAAAGATTAGTCTTACTATATATAACAAAATTCCAAAGTTTCATTGCAATCGGTTAACCTACTCCGAAAAAGTCAAAATCTCACTTGGAATCGCACATTAATCTTTATATAGATTGAAATTTCGTCGAATTTAAGTTTCTATCGATTGAATTTATATTAAATTAAAAGTTTAATTAATAAATTTGTTTTGACTACTAAAAAATAGAATTTATTGAAAGGTTGGATCACTTGAAATTTAGATTGAATTGAAATTTGAATCAATTAAAATTTGAATCGAATAAAATTTAATTAAACTGAAATTTAGATGAATAAAAGTTTAAACAAATTGAAATTTGGATAAATTAAATTATTGGTTGATTAAAAATTAGAATAAATTTAAATTTAGATCGAATAAAATTTCAATCAATAAATGCTACAACTACATTAAATTTAGATTTATTAAAATTTTGCTTAAATAATTTTTAAATAACCTATGACCTAACATTTTCTAAACTTCTCTGACTTGTAGTAACCATAGTTATAGTTACAATTAATAATGGATTATGTATATATTTATTCTAAGTTTAAAAATAATATTATACTTTAAAAAACAATACATACCAATTTTTCCACGAAAAACATTCGAATTGGCGGGAACAAAGACAGTGACCAAGGATAGAAACGTCTAGGTTGAACCGCAATGATAAGGTCAGTTTACAGGTTTAAACCAGGTTAGACGGATTACGTGCAGCAATCTCATTCTTTCTCTCAGTACTGCAATGATGAAAAAAAAGAAGAATGATTAACAATTGTGAACGTTTACATATCTGTTTCACCACCTGAAATTTAAATTAACTTTTTACAACGTATAAAAAAAATATCAAATAATGTAATATTAATAATTTACTTAAGGACTAAAAAAAGTCAGTCATATTTTCATAAAATATATATATATATGAGAGATTCTTTTTCAATCGCCCCAGCCCAAAAAGTCAATGTTCTGGGATTGGCTTCATACTTTGGTAAATTGTTGTCCTATATGATAGTAATAAATCCCTAAAATATAAACTCATTAAAAAAATATTTGTAGAAAGTAGAGGGGGTTGAAGTTTTGACGTTAAGGGTAACATTGTCATTTTCAAATCCGTATAACTATGACAAAAGTTAATGGATTTTAATTTATCTATAATGAATTTTATTGCATTTTTCACGTACTTTTCAAAAATGTTTACGAAATTTAAAAAAAAAAATTTTTAACCCCTTTTTTTCAAAATCAACCCTTATTTTTCGATTTTCACCCCTTCGGGTATTTTTTTTTTTTTTATTTTATTTTCATTGGAAAGCTGAGGTTTTTTCCGATGAGCTATGTAAATATGAAAATGGGACAACAATAATTTTGTGAGTAACAGAATATTAAAGTAGGCGGTGCCGATAAGGGGTGTACCTGGAGATCATCTTTGAGGATTTAGATAGACACCGCCTAATTTAATATTATGTTTCTCACAAAATTATTGTTGTCCCATTTTCATATTTACATAGCTCATGGGAAAAAACCTCAGCTTTCCAATGAAAATAAAAAAAAAACAAAAAAAAATACCCGAAGGGGTGAAAATCGAAAAATAAGGGTTGATTTTGAAAAAAAGGGGTTAAAAATTTTTTTTTTTAAATTTCGTATACATTTTTGAAAAGTACGTGAAAAATGCAATAAAATTCATTATAGATAAATTAAAATCCATTAACTTTTGTCATAGTTATACGGATTTGAAAATGACAATGTTACCCTTAACGTCAAAACTTCAACCCCCTCTACTTTCTACAAATATTTTTTTAATGAGTTTATATTTTAGGGATTTATTACTATCATATAGGACAACAATTTACCAAAGTATGAAGCCAATCCCAGAACATTGACTTTTTGGGCTGGGGCGATTGAAAAAGAATCTCTCATATCTACAAATTAAATTATAATGTAATTAAAATACAATTGACGTTTAATTAAAAATTTTCTAAAACAATAATTTAAATTGATGAATTAATGGAACATTAGCAAATAAATGAAGAACTTTACCTGTCCCTTAGTTCCTTTAAAAAAAATTCAATAGCAGTAGCAGAAGATGATCGTGAGTAATTCCCCTTTATGATTTAACTGGTGATGGCCATCTGATTTATCAAAGGCCAATAAGAAGAAAAAGAATTTAAGATCATATTGGTTATTGTGCAGTCAATATGTCAATGGGACTCTACAAGAAAAAAAAACAAGGAATAATGTATAGTAAAACATACAAAAAACACTTTTAAAAAATGTATTATAATAATAAATAAAATACACAGTAATTAAGATACATGTTGTAAATTGCAATAATTTAAAGAATAGAAATTCAAGAAATTTTAACCAAATTTAATCAGCGAGTGCCATCATTATTATTATAGTAATAGTAAAATTATAGTAGTTGTTAAAATAATGATGAATTTTATTTTTTACTAAATGGTTATTTTATGTGTGTAATATTTTAGTTTATTTATCCAAAAATATGACATTTTTATTAATACTTCCCATGTACAATAATTAGAAAAAATTGTCAATCTTAACAATTTGGTAAACAAAAATTCTATTTTCAATTGTTTCATACGTACAAAACAATAAGCGCCCACATTGTCACAATTTTTGGACGTCAAAGATATATATTCATCTCAATAATTAACAGAACATGAGTTCTGGGGTTTAAAATAAACATATATTACTTTGATTTCAAAACAGTACAAGATATAAACTTACCATAAAATATGTGAAAATCTTACAGTTTTTAATGAAAAAACCAACTTTAAATAGAACACTGGTAGCAAGAGGAAAAGGTTAATTTGTACAATTCATAATTGTTACAATCTTTACATTATTATTCAAATTTTCTGACAGTCACAATCACAAATACTTTAATGAGTTATATCATTTGATAAAATAAATATAGTGCTTGATAAACATTAATACTTTTTTTACCTATGCAAAACGAAAACTTTTTAAGAGAAACAAAATAAAATAACCAATGGCAAAATTAATATTAAAGCATGCGCAATTGTCAAATAACAAGACTTAAGCTCCGTTTATTCGACAGGATTCAATCAGTATTGCCAATCTAAAACGTAAGGGTACGTTCGTTACCAAATAAAATTTTATTTCCTTGTTCATTTTTACTTTTTACATTTAAGCAATTCATTTTTTCCTTATTTCTTGCAATTATTTTAAATTATTAAATTTTTAAATTTAAACTTTATCATTTTTTAATATTTTAAACAAAGTACAGGGCGAATCAATGCTCAATGTCTGCCCTGAACAATTTTCAGAACGATCCTCTCTAGGTGCGTATCAAAAGAAATTTGCAAAAAATTGTGAGTCTTAATTTACTTCATTAGATTAAAATGAAACAGATTATTTATATGTTATGCTGATAATATAAAATATAGTAAATTTATTATATAATTATTGGTTAAAATAATTAGAATTTATGATTTTAATTATCGTAATAATCATACCTTAAATTTTCTGTGCTTGATACATCTGTGGGTACGCTATGTTTGGTGCAGATGTAACAGTGACGGATCATTAACGTTCAGACCCGAGGTTTTTGACTAAGTCGCCCCGATCACTGTTACTCAGTGCTGTAATAAATAATAAGTTTGCGCTCTAAATATGAAATTTAGATTTGATTTATTGCAAGAAGTTGATAGAGAATTGATCGACTATTTTAATAATAAGAAAAAGAATGGAAGAATAAATGCAAATTGATTGAAAAATAAAATTAGAGAAACAATTATTTGATTGTTTTGATATGAAGATTTTATTTTTGAATCAAAACAAATATACAATTAATTAAGTTAGTAATTACATAATATAGAAAGGTACTCCAAAAAGGGTTTTTCTGCAGTTTCCCCTTTTTGCTAGAAAATTGTTCTAGGTGAATACGAGTACTAATAATTATTGCTGCAGAGAATTGAGTCTTGATTGAAACTTAATTAATTAAAAATAAAAGCGGTAAATTTAAACTTAAATTTAGGTTCTTTGAAAATTAAGAAAAATTAATATAAATAATTAAGATATACATAAATATATATATGTATTTGAATAAACGCAACAATTTTAATTTGTAAACCTGGAAAATTTTGAGAAAAGAAAATAAAATACTAAATTAAAGAAATCAATACATAAAAGGGAAAAGAGAGTAAACAAGTTAGAATTGATGCGTAAGTTAAGTCGTTAAATGACGGTTATCTAAGTAAAAAATGAAGTAAAACTAATTTTAGATCATAAATTTAGCAAAATACGCAATTTTAAATGCGTATTTTGTGCAGGTGTTCCACATAAAAAAATTATGACAGTTACGAACGGTTGCAACGGTCTTCTAAAAAAATAGACCAATCAATTAGCGAGGGCGGGATTGAACAACTTGAAAATAGGAATATGATTGGGAAAATTTCTTATGGAAAGGGAAAAGGAACTAAAATTAAGAGTGGAAAATTGACTATAAAAACATAATTTTATAAGGAAGGACCTGAGATTTTGGCGAGCAAATTAACGTGAATTTCGCGAAATAATAAACTCGTAAAGTTCAAATTAAAACTTAATTTATAATTAATATTTGTCAAAAGGGATTATAAATTAAGAATATTTAAACTAAGTTTAAATAAAGCGTATTTAAACAAGACTCAATTCGATTCAATTGAATAAATTTTTGATTTTCTAATTAAAAATCAGTGTCTTATTTATTTAATAAAATAAACCTACCTAACTCAAGCAAGTGGATCCTTTTAAGGATCTAAATGATGAAAGAAACCTACGGTTGATAATTTGAAAGGAACAAAATTCAAATTTTATAAGCTAAAATTTTTGGACAAACATTGTACATTTTGAACTTCGCTTTACTTTCCGTTTGGAAGTTTCGCGGTGTGTTACAAGAAAATTTTGGTGTCAGAAGTGGGATGAAAATCAGCTTGCTTGAGAAAAAACGAACGATTACTATTGTCGTAAAAAGAAGAAAATTTAAAGGACGAACATATGAAGTTGTGCATTTAGAAGAAGGAAGAAAAATTATTCTTAGAAAAGTAAGAATAAATCAATAATCTAAAAGAGACGGAACGAGAAGGAAGCATATATCGACTGAGTCCAGAGAGCGGGGATTCCCAAGGTCAATAAACTGTACAAAAAAAAAATCAATAAAGGAGATTCAACCGAAAGCAGCCTTTGAAAAATAAAGAGGAAATGTGGTGATCGAAGAAGAAGAGGAATTGGTGAACGAAAGTGAAAAGTGTATATATATCGTAAAACAAAAAAAAAAAAAAAAAAAAAAAAATAATTTTTTTTTTTTTAAAGTGTAAGGATTAAAAAGGAAGGAAAATTTCAAGGGGTAAGTCGATTAATTTCTCTAACTATAAACTTCTTGCAATCGAAATAAAATAAAAATCAAAAAAAATATAATAAACAAAATGTTGCGAAGAGAGAATCACGGTAGCGAAAGTAGCGAGTCAGTTATGGAATATATGGGTCCTGGTTCTGGGTCATGGGAGGTTGAAGGTAGTTCAACCCCAATATTAAATAATGAAATAAAATCAAATCAGTCAAATTTAGTAATGATAGGAGAAAATTTTAAAACAAATTTTCTTCCCTTTAAAGCAGCTCTTGAATTTTTACCAAAAGAGTTTGATGGTCACAACGTGTCAGTAAATAAGTTTATAAAAAATTGTCGATTTGCAGAGAACTCGGTTAATC